GCTTCCTGGTGGAGTGGGTTGCCTTCAGGCATTAATTGGTAGAAGAGACCAGCTTGAAATGGAGTAGCAGGTTGGCTGGCCCATGGAGCAAGAAAGCTAAATGTCCTTTGCGGCAAGAAGATTCCTGGCGGAGTGGGTTGTCCTCGGGCATTAATTGTTAGAAGCAGAGACCAAGGAAACGGAAGCAGAGCTGCCTCAGACTAAAAGGGTAGGACCATGGTCTTTGGGGGTGGAATGATCACAGGCCCCTAGGTTTCAAAGAGCCAGGCCTTCACCAACTTGATTCTGGAGTATGGGGCTGTTCATTCATGTGAGCCAGTGGGATGGAGCCATAGTTGCTGCCCAAGAGTGAGGGGGCAGGGCTGCCATGCCCCAAGAGGGAAAGAGTAACGGGGTCTACCAGGCCAAGGGGGTGAGGTCACCACTTAGAGGAACTAGGGGACTGGAGCCACCCAGGGGAGGGAATCTGTACAGATGCCTTGGAATGGCCTCTAGCCTATGGCATGCTTGGACCCTGCATATAGCTGTGTCATTGCTCAACAGCCTGCTGCTATGCTCTGCCGACCTTGGGATTTACAATGGACTTAAGTTAATGACTTGCTGTGTGGTTTGGTAACATTGGGACTGTGCCTTTTTACTTGACAACCTTGGGGCTTCTCAGCCTCAGCAGCCAGCAGCTGTCTGAGTGAAGAAACACCTCTAGCTCCACTGGGCCAGGAGTAGGAGGTGGAGCTGGACCCCAAGGTTGAGGGACTTTCACCCAGCCCCTAGAGCCTGGCACTTGAACTTGGACTTAAAGCCTCCAAATTGTAAGAATAAACTCCTGTTTGTTAAGGCCATCCCATTTGTGGTATAGTCTTGTCAGAGTGGCACCACGTACCCACAACACAGGGTGAATTTTTTTAAAAGTGAGTTCAGCTAAGACAGTCAGCAGTAATAAGTGGTGCAGGACATGGCTGACAGGTGAGCACTGACATCAGATGTTGAAAACAGACCCAAATGAGATTTTGGCATCATGGTAATGGAGGCAATGAGCCAGTTGCTTCCTATTACTGTTTTTTTCATGTCTTAATTTAAAAAAGAAAAATGGTCTTGGTCTTTAAGACTAAGCATCTTGGGCAGGGCATAAAGAGAATTTTGAAATTTATCTTTTTTCTCTTGTTGTTAATGTGCCATCAAGTCGGCCCCGACTCATAGCGACCCCTCCTTGGGTTTCCGAGGCAGTATCACTACGGAAGTAGATTGCCCAACCTTCCTTCCAAGGAGTGGCTGG